TTATTAAATTGTTCGTAATAACGAACAACAAAACAAATAATATTAAACGGAATGAGGTTAGCCAGTTCTTTAAAAAAAAACAAACAAGCGAGAGGCGTCTAAGATAATAAATAATATTTTTGGAGTAGAAAAGAAAAACACTAAGCCACAAATTAGAAATGAAGATTTGCGAACACAAATATCAATATCAATAATTCTTTTATTGATGGTGTTGACTGTCCAAATAACTATGATAATGTTTTTTTTAGTTACGATAATGACCACGTGGAGATTTTTAGCTTAAAAAATTATGAGAAACCGCAAAATGTAAGAGAACACTTGAGTCAATGGGCTGTTACCCATAGAATTAGCAATTCGGCTATAAATGATTTATCAGGGCTTTCAGCTCCAAATCTTTCGGACATATTATGCGAAATAAGGGAGAGGGATAACTATCAAATGAAGCGCGATGAAAATATAATAAAAGTTATAAAAACATTAACCGGGGAGGTTATATCATTGCGTGAAGAAGTACGCCTCCTTAAGTTCAATGCAAATCCAACAAATGAAGTGGATTCATCCATTTTACCGCCGTTACCTCTACAAACTGCAGATACCTTAGACCAGTTTGATGCGAGTTTGGTTGATGAAGATAGAAAAATAGCCTTCGAATAGAATAAAAATTATTAACTATATCTATTTTAGTTGTTTTATTTTTATATTTTTAAAAGCAGTTCATTAACAGAGTGGGCGGCGATGAAATGTCCATATTTTTAAGGCAAAGTGTTAAAAAAGTCTTATCTGATAAGCTCGCAACAAATTACACATGGAGAGGAACAAAGCAGAAGACTAGTATACAAACGTATACTTTCACAAGAATTTAAAGTTATACAAAGTGATAGTGAGAACATTTGATTTCTTTAAATAAAATATTTATTGATATATTCATAATGAGTAATGTAAGTACTTATATATTTACACATATGTATATATTATATTAAATATATTATTATTATTATTAATATTGATAAGTAAATTTAATTTGTGATTTTTTAAAAAAAATTTTGTCGGGTCGTGTGTCGAAGACACAAAAATACAAATTATTAGAGTTACTAAAGCAAAATATTTATATTGCTCGGGATCAATTTTCAGGCCCAGATAGTCGTAAAAAGACTGAAAACTTTTGGAAAAATTGTGCTGAGGAACTAAATGCTTCTGGAGGATTCAATAAAACACCAGAGCAATGGAAAAAAGAAGTTAAAGTACGTCTAGCAATACATAATACAAACATTTTGCAAATTTTACCGTTACCGAACCAATTTCGTTGTGGTTACGCTTAGCATATGTATGCGAAAAGATTTTACTTATAATTTTATTTACTTCACAGATTTTATTTTATTATTATAATTTATTAAATACAATTTATTTATCCTTATTTAACACTGTGAAATTCGATTTTATAAAATAGCTTAACATTGTTATTAATTATAGTGCTGGGCGGACTGGAAGCTATCGGTAAAAAAACAAGCAGCTGCAATGAAGCGCTTTTGTGAACAAACAGGCAGGCATCCATCGGATAGTGAAGGGCCGAAAGCTCTTGAAGGAATGGATAAAGAAGTGATAAAGTTTATTTCGGAGCACGCAGTGGATGGGGATCAAAATACTCCCGAAACAGGCATTCCGGTAAATAAAAGACATGTTTTTTGTTTTACATATTAATAACAACAATTTCTGTTTTCTTTTACAGTATCAGCAATCAGGTTCCTATGAGATAGAATTTTTAGAGAGTGAAGAAATTATAGATAAAAACTTATCAATGCTTTATACATCAAAGATCCTGTACCACAAACAATTATATCTCAACCAAATATTTTAGAACCCTATTTAGAAAATATCGAAAAATCAATTATAAACCATTATATGATAATATTCTACCAGAAAATGAATATAACATATTATTATATCCCAAACAAATACCAGGAGGTTTCACTAATTTAAGCTCAAATAATATACCTGTAGGAGTTCAAATAATATTAAGTTTCGGACCAAATTATTGTCCAATACAAATCCCTGAGATAACAGATTATTACCAAGCGATAAGAAAATACAATGATAATTATTTAGAATCTTTTATAAACTTGAGTATATGTGACCCATTAAAAATGGAGTCACACTATGAAAAACTGTTGAACATAATAGAACAGAAACAAAAACTTCCTTTCAAATAGCTCTAAAGCAACTATACGAATATGCATCAGACTACCTAAATAAACACAAAGATATAGTAATAGTACAATCAGATAAGTGTAAATCTACAGTGCTTATGAAGCGAATAGATTACATGGAAAAAATGTATACAATGAACACCAATAAAACCCGAGGTATATATATATTTATTAGTTCAAATTGTAATTTATTGTAATAATTTATTGGTTAAGGATCGATTTTATCTATTGTAATGGTTAAGGATCGATTTTATCTATTATAATGTTCAACCAATAAAACACTACAAATTAAATATCCCCATAACTTTATATATAAGTCATATCCAACTTTAATTGATTGAATATATTATTCTCCTTAACTTAGATCTTTTAACACCAAATCAAGCCAAATCACTAGCTGTCTCCAAACCAACTTCTGAAACTATATTATCCACCTCAACTGATCTAATTGAAACCCCGGACATGCAAATGAGTACATATAATGTTAATTTAAATGAAACAAATCCATGTAACTTTTATGGCGGTCGGTTACCCCAAAATGTACTTTTTTCAACATTGTATCCAAAAATGATACCTGGTGGGTTCCATAACCTAAGTGGTCGCCAGGTACCAAAGGAAGTGCAAATATTGTTGAGCTTCGGCCCAAAGTATAGCCCTATCAAAACACCTACTATAGAGGACTATTACGTAGCTTTGGATAGCTATAATGAAATATATCAGAATCAATTTATAAATTTAAACTACCAAAGTCCGTTAGAGATGCAGCTGCATTATACTCAATTTTTAAAGGCCATGGAAGATTATCAAGAACCTCAGCAAACTCAACAAATATTATTTCAGTTATATAAGTATACTTCCGAATATTTACAATCACAAAAAGATTTGATAATAATACAAGCAGATAAAGGCCAGTCTACATGCTTAATGAAAAAATCTGAATATATACAGAAGATGTATGTGTGGATAAACCATAACCTAGAGATAGGATCCTACATTTTGTATACAGAAAACCAACGAGCCTTGTTTAATTGCTTAGCTGCAAAATATCGAAGAATAGTTAAGCCACTTATTAGATGGCATCGACAGGAACCGTCCTCATTTCCAAAGTCTATACTAATAAGCTTGCAACAAATGTTAACAATATCCAGTCCTACCTTACCATATCTATATGGCACCGTGAAATTACACAAAAAGGAGCAACCTATGAGGCCCATTTGCAGTCCGCTAGGTTGGTACATCCATCCACTCCATCAGTTAATACATCATGTGTTAAAAAAGACCTTGTCAAACCGCATGTCCGCACACAATCTGACCAATATGAGCTGTTTAACAGGGCATATCTTACAGCTTCAGCCTTTACCAGATTATGTATTCGTGTCCATGGACATAAGAGACATGTATCCAAGAACCAATATAACATCCCTATGGCGCACCTTGAAAAATCTTATGTGCTTGCCTTGGTTTCTTGAATCATGTCCCATACCCATATCAATGCTTAATATGGCATTAGAGTATATATTAAATACTGGGAACTATTTTACCTTTGAAGATAAATGCTATATTCAGGCAGAAGGGTTACCACAGGGGGGTGCAGCCTCTGGAATTCTAGCAACAATTCATCTCGACTCCCAAATAGAGATCCACACTCCAGCTTTATTTCATAAGCACAAAGTGCATTCTTGGTGGAAGTACGTCGATGATGTCTTATTATATATGTCACGCCACAATATACCTTCTTTTATGGATACATTTCAAGAGTTGGTGGGTTATGAAATCACCTATGAGATAGAAACCGAAAATCCATCATTTGACAATTATCCAAGAATATCTTATTTAGATTATAATATCATACGTGCCCCATCTGGATATCTGATATCCTTGTATCGGAAAAAACAACAGTCGATGAGGATGCTGCACTATACGTCGCATATCTCCTTCCAAGTCAAAAGATCAACTTTACTTTATCATCTACGACGTATTATTTATAGAACTAGTATAGAGTACTTAGAACAGGATCTATATAATTGTATAACACAAATCCTAATAAATAGTTATCCATACGCAATGATCCAAGATGTGTTACATCATATCTCCATATCGTATATGCAACAAAGTTCTAGATACATCCAAAAGCCAACATACGCACGTTATCAATTGATAACTAAATATATAAGAACATCATTCTATCCTGGTTTGCAAGATAAACATCCGCGTCCACGTCGATATAGGAGAAGCTTTGTGTTCAGCTGCGACGAAATATCAAAAACAAAAAATAAACGAAATCTTTACCTGCACCAACCTTTTAAAACATTTTCTATGGAATTACAAAAACAACTACCTTGTATGAAAATTGCATTTTATATTTTCATTTTAAAAATATCGCGCAGAATTTGCGCGATACTCTTGATTTTTATATTATATAACGCAAGTATACCAGTTATTTGTGAGTTTTAAAATAAGAAGCAAATTTTAAGAGTTATTTCTGTGCGAGAAAATAAAAGGCATATAATAATAATTATTTTTGATGAATATAATAAAAATCAAATTTAATAATTATTTTTTGAGTTTTATTTTAAAATGCAAATGATAACAGTTATAACATGATTTTTATTTTTTTTATGATAACTGTTACGGTCCCTGCTTAGAAGACGTTAAAAGAACTGCCGTCGTCGGCCAAACGAGCGCCTTTTTTAATTAGGTGCTCCAGTGACCACACTTTAAAAATCAAAGTAATTTGAGTTTATTAACAAATGTTAAATAGACTTTCACCTTCCTTTATATTAACAATAGTTCACTGACACTTTATATTTATATAAAAAAATTTTGTATAAAATATTTACTATATTTCAGAAATTTTTAAGGAGATCAATTTTTTAAACACTTTTATCACAACAGGGTTACCAACTATAATGGTAAAGGGTTACCATTATGTTTTGGTATAAGTTATGTATACCAAAACATAATCTTATATGTGAAAATTATTAAAATATGAATTATTAAAAATATACCATAGATAATTCATAAAATATTCCTCCTAAAACACATTTATACCTCAATATAAATTAATATTTAAAATTGTTATTATACTAGATTGTTTAACAACCAAAATATTGATTATAGAAAAAACAATTAACTAAAATTATCTACCAAAGACTATTAACTATACTTAGCTTGGAAGCAACACTTTTTAAATCAAATACATTTAACATTTTATTACATATAAAGCTTTTTTAAAAATTACACGTAAGTACTAATTTGTATTTATTCTACATATATCTACCTAATTTTGAAAAATATATATTATTTGTTCATATAACATTAATAATAATAATAAATCTAAAATTAGCTTACTAACATTGTAGAATAATAACTTACTCCATACAATATATAACATTACTTAATTGTACAATAATTATTAATACATTATATAGAGCTTAAAACTTAAACTGTAGATTTTATTAAAAATTAAAAATTAAAACTTAAAATTAAAGAATAAATATTGTAATTAAACTTATTAAAATTGTTTAAATTGTTTTTATTAAAAATTATTAAAATTGTTTTTATTAAAATTATTAAAATTGTTTTTACACCAACAATATCACATAGCAATCTACATATCAGAATAAAAATTAAATAATACAATTAAAACCACAAATACCTAATATACTTTTTTATTAAAATTGTTTACATCATATCATATTGATATTAACCAAAAATAATTTTTATATTCTCTATATTATACTGATCTGTCTCAAATCTATAGCATATACTATATAAAACATCATACAACTGACAATCACTTTTATGCACCATCATTAACAATATACTAATTATATTGTGTCCATAATTCTAATTATCAAACGTATGTATTATAACATGTATTAATATATCTACCTTCAGTTGTTTATATATTCTTATTCTCTCTTACAGAGACTACATATTATCATCTCTACGTACAACTACATAAACAAAAACGTAAGACTCAATATTTCAATAGCATCTTTAAATTATCTCTATTATACTGATCTGTCTCAAATCTATAGCATATACTATATAAAACATCATACAAAAGACAATCACTTTTATGCGCCATCATTAACAATATACTAATTATATTGTGTCCATAATTCTAATTATCAAACGTATTATATAATGTATTAATATATCTACCTTCAGTTGTTTATATATTCTTATTCTCTCTTACAGAGACTACATATTATCATCTCTACGTACAACTACATAAACAAACACGTAAGACTCAATATTTCAATAGCATCTTTAAATTATCTCTAATATTACTACATTTTATCATATATATCTATTAACTATTAAATAATACTAAAATTGATTTAAAATAAAATAATTTCATTCTAATACTTTATTGTAACAAATTACCTATTATATTATTCAATAATCAATTATATCCATATTACTATCTCCTCAATTCTCAATCTTCTCCTCCTCAATCTTCCTTAATTAACCCATTCTAAATAAATCTTTATCCATATCTTAATTTATATATAGCCTATCTTCTATATTAAAAATCCTAATTCCATCAATAATACCTCAAAAATTAACTTAAATTATATTTGTATAAATCTCGTAAACATAAAATATAAAAATTATAAATAAATGAATAATGTCACATAAATAAATTATTGTATCAATATACTATATTCTATTGAACATCTATACTTATATATTTTATTCATATAAACACTTCCTGTATACATTATTCACCAACTTATATATACCTTTATCAACTGTATCCAACAATTCTCATGTAATTAATTCAAACAGCATTTTATGTAATCCACGTAATATATAAATATATAATAAACAAAAACTATCATTATACCATCCAAACCTTAAAAATTGTTATCATATCACTTTTAAATAATATCTTATAAATATTAAAAAACTTTACCAATTTAAATTACAATGTAACCTATAATATTGATGACTTCACAAAACATGTAAAATATACCTAAAACCATACCTACTACTTCTTTTTTATTTTTATTTAATTCTATTTAATTTTAAAATTATCCTCTATTAAACATAACTAATTAGCCCAAAAAAATGGATATTAACTATACCGACGAAGAGTTGCAGATTGCAATCAAACAGCTTTAGATGAAAATTTATTTGATGAGCCTACTCATCAACCAAACCTTACTTCTACTCAAACTACTACACACCAGTGTCATATAGCTCCAATAATAACACCGAGAACCATCTCCGATCATATCCAATTACATGAGCATACATCTCAACCTTATTCAAATTCATCACACCTATATATATCAAGTAATTATTATCATTTATTTGTACTTCTAAAAATTATATTCCCTCCATATTAACAACCTTCATAAATATTAATTCATCTCCATTTTTTATTTCTTTATCTATTCATACATATGTTTGTAATTATTTCTTTACTCAACTATACAGATACTAACCCAGACTTACCTATACACATCAACACTCTACCTGCAATTAACACCCAACAACCTCCGATTTTATCTGCAACTACCTCATTCGCTATAACAAACAACTACACTTCAACCAATTTTAAAACAATATCAACAACCTCACATCTATCACAACCAAATCTTAA